TCACTTCACTTATCCCCATCAGACCTTGTGATACAGAAACTATTCTTTTCCATTTTTGGCCATCCTTGTCTTTGGGAGGCTTATACATATATAACAGAGGAGCAAATGCATATTCAAGTGCAAATTTTTAAAATACTCATCGGGTTGTTAACTCCAATTTCTGAAGCAAATTAGGTTGTTAGGACAGAAAGAAAGGAAAAAAAACTTACGAGTAGGTGTTTTCCTATCCTGCAGATTTATAGATTCAGGGTGTAAGAGAAATGGAGAAACCATTCTAAAATGCTTGAATTTGTAGTTAAGGTAAACTAGAGGCCTGTCCAAGGTCACAGGGAAAGTTAGAGGCAGAGCTCACAGCCGATTCTTGTTTAATGGGGGACAACATGCTGTATCCTGCCCCTTCTCACTGCGCCTCAGAGCCAGGCAAAGGTTCATGCTTTGATCATACCTGTCTTACATATATCTACTACTTCTCTCTCACGGAACATGTTTCATCTGCCAAGCCAGTGCAGACTGAAATTTTACGGGACATACACAATATATACGTAATAAAAAATACAAGCAAATAAAGCATAGCAAACTGGCAATATTCACAACGTTCCTTAAAATGCAGAATGCAAATACTTCTGGAAGGACCCTGTGTCTCCTGTCCTACCCTCCCCACTATGGTATTTCACCTGCTGCTTCACTAAGTTGCTTGGCTAGCCTCGACTGTCACACAAGCCAGTGTGTAATTTTCAAGGTACAGGACACACCAGAACCTCAGCAAACTTACACAACCCCCAAAGAACAATCGATACTGACCACTGCCCCCAAAGCCCTTCTTGTGGATGACGAGTTTGTAGACCTTTGTGGTTCTCATCTTGCACTGTTGTTTCCTTCAGCTGTTCCAAGCTTGGGGGAGAGAAATCATTTTGCCTCCCTGCCACTGAAACACAAACAAAAAGGCTGGAATGTGAGACATTCCCTTGCAACTGCTTTTAGATTTTAGGGCAGTGAAAATACTGCTGTTGCTCAGCAGAGAGGTGGCAGCAACCCTTGCATGATTCCTCTAATAACCAGGAAGCATGGAGAACAAACAGAACCAACGAATCTGGGAAGGAAAGGGAATTCGGGTCAGGGTCTAGTCCAACCTCCGAGCAGATATTCTATCACACCCTTAAAGGGAAAATTTGTAATGAATAAAGCACTCATTACCTTGCCTCTATCTAAACCAGTAACACCCAAATATTAAAGAGGTCTTAAAAGAGGTTAGGCACACTCCTTCTGCAGATGAGGAAAGTGAGGGCCAGAGCAAGGGACTTGTCCAAGGTCCCTCAGAGATGGGAGGCACTTCCACTGGCGACGTTTCGCCGTCGATGTTCCGGGCAAGGAGAGTGTAAATAAGAGGAAGGCACGGGTTCCTTCCCCAAACCTCCATCTGCACAAACTCAGCAGTTCCTCCCCGCACACCCTCATTTCACAGCTGAGGCCACTGAGGATCAGAGACGGGGAGAGACTTGCCTAAGGTCACACAGCGGGCTGGAGGTGGCGTCAGGATTCGAACCTGTCCACGGCCCCCTCCCGCCTTATTCCCAAATCCGGGCCCTGGCGGTCAGCTCCACTCACCCGCAGCTCCGGAGCCCCTTCCCGCCTGAGGCCGGAGAC